TACAATATTACATCACAAAAAAATCTAAAAATCAAATATATAATCAGAATTGTGTCAATTTAAGCGGAATTTAAGTGAATAAGACATTTATTACCATAGTTAGTTCGATCACACTCTCAAAATTGTCGACCTAAAAAATCTAAGAAACTTTTTTTTACATATAATAAAAAAGGATGCAACCCATTTTTTTAGTGCAATATGTGGAAGCGGAAATTCAAACTCAGATATTTTGGTTCGAGATAAATACCTTGATCAGTTGAATTATTATTGGCATCACAATTTTCTTATAAAAATTAAATAGCAAATGAAAAGGTCGTCTTATTCAAAACCTCAATTATGAAACCCCTTCTCTCCCACTTTTCTCTCTCACTTCACACCTTGGAACGCACCGTTCTTATAGAGAGAGAGGCGCTTTCACATCTTCTTAACCCGAAATGGCAAATGGCTGGGGAGAGGAAAGGTTCCTTTTTTTAGGGTACCCCCGGGAACAGATCCAGTGGAGACGGGGTGGAGCCTGTAGCTTAGAGGATTAGAGCACGTGGCTACGAACCACGGTGTCGGGGGTTCGAATCCCTCCTCGCCCACAACCGGCCAAAAAGGGAAGGATAATGCACATTGTTTAATCTTTGAATTACAATTTTGTTTCTTGAACTTTAACAGCTATATTAAATAAATTTGTATAACTCTCATCATTAAAAAAATAATAATAATAAATTCATATAATTGAAAAGATGCCATATAAACTATTCTTCTCCAATGAATACCTAAACTTTGCTTCCTAACTTTCTAAACTTTTGATTTGTGTCTAATGTCTCACACTCTTATTAAAAAAAGTGTCTTATAAATTACATATTATTAAACACAAAATTGAAAGTTTAAAAACGTGTTAAGATACAAAAAATTGAAAGTTTAAAAACTTGTTAAGATACAAAAGTGAAAGTTTAGAAACCTATTAAACACAATACTAATAAAGTTTAGGATAATTTATTAGACACATTTTTAAATTTCAAAATTCTATTATTAGACCCAACTTTAAAAGTTTAAGAACTAATGTTAAATTTATAAATAAAAAAAACATGTGTTATAATTTAACCGTTTGATCGTGGAATAAATTCAATTCAAAAATTTAAAAAAAAAATTGAGGAATAGAGCAAGAACAAATGTAAGAATCCTTTTTATATCCTAATTCGTCTCGTTTTCATTATTGTTTCGACGTATAAGAAATAGGCACATCAACAATACTTTCATTAGTTTCATTAGTTTCATTTTATGTTAATGATGTATACACATAGTTATTATAAGTTATAATATATATACTATGTGTACTTTTGAAATAAACTATTGTTAATGATCTAATAAACATACTATATATACTTTTTTATACTAAGTTATAACTGGCATATCATGTATTATTATAAAACATATACAATAATTTGTTATATGATTTACAATATTTTAATTTTARTCTATATACATACATACATACATGTTCTTTTATTATGTCAATCAATTATGTTTTTTTTTATTGATTAATTTCATTTTATGTTAGTGATGTATACACATACTTATTATAGATTATAACATATATGCTTTGTGTACCTTTGAAATAAACTATTCTTAGGAATCTAATGAATATACTGTATATACCTATTTATACTAGATTATAACTTACATCCGTGGAGGTAGCCACAGACTTGATCGGATTCGTGGTGTTTTGCCGCCACTTGCTCTAAGTGGAGGACGAAGGAAGGAGACGACAAATTTGGTAAGAGAGAAAGAGAGAGATTAGAGTTTCCTGGAACAACGAGAGAAAGAGGGAAGAGAGAGGTAGATGTGATTTTTAGAAGAGAAAGAGAGAGTAAATTTTCATGGAATGAAGGAGAGAAAGAGGAAAGAGGAAAGAGATAGGTAGATGTGATTTTTACAAGAGAAAGAGAAAGAGATTTGAAGTTGAAAAATTCATGAATTAAAGAATTTTCCATATTTGATTTTTTTCTTAATTGTTTATTCAATATATATTTAAGAGGGTAAATTTGTAAAATTCAACACGGTTCTTATTTTAAGTATAAAATCTTAAACATGAATCTATTTATGTAAATTTAAACTTTCCTATAGTTTAACAGCGTACTTATCTTAGTTTATAATATTTTTTCTCGTACAAATTATCCCAATTTATAATAAAACTTTACAAATATATATTAGAAGTGTGGGCATAAATAAATTTATTCAAATTCTCACAAATTAAATTTCTTATGCTAGCATTCATTATTATATTTGAATTATGCAAATTTGTGATTTTCCTTTTGACAAAATATTTTGGAAATACATAAGTTAGATTAGATATGAATTAATTTCCATTATTGTTGTTATTTGAATTTGATAAATTAATATACATTTACTGTTTTTCTAGAATTAATTTTCGACACGTTTTAATTTCAAGGACTTTTTTCCCCCTTTTTAGTACCTTTTTTTTTAAAAGACATTGTTTTAGTACAGTTGTACCTGTACCTACGTGGTTACTTATTGCACATGACAGAACTTTATTGATATGTCTATCTCCTTACACTTTACATTCATATTATTTATATTTATTTTTTGTGAAACTATTTGGGGTCATCGTTCAAATTTTAAAAGTTAATTTCTTATTGTCTTATAAAAACAAAAAATTGCTATTTGAACCCAATAAGAAAACGATTTTATAATTTTTTTTTGTAAAAAAAACAATCTTACAATTATTTTAAGAGTTGATTTTATAATATAGAGTTTGTTTGTGAATAATTTTTATATAATTATTATAATATGATTTTAAAGGATTAATATTTGAAGTTTAAAAAGAGAAATTTGATTTAGAGGGAGAAAAGTTAGAGAAGAACGAAAATAGAGATAATTAGAGGGTGAGAAACCAAAAATTTTAGACAGAAAAAATAAAATAATCACCTACTAAGTGATTGGCTAGAATCAGTAAAGTGATTTTCAATTTTTTTCAAAATTATTTAAGAATTATTTCTACCATGTTATTTTTAAACGATAGTAATTTTGATATTAATAAGTGACGTCAAAATCACTTTGAAACATAACTCCATCCACGACAAATTACTCGGATAAAATTCCACTGAAAATCCGGAGAAACAAACAACACCTTGCAGGTTATGACCGGCATTGTGGTTGGAAATTTACAAACCTTATCAAACTTTCAAGCCTCTCCATTATTATTATTATTATATATATTATTTATAACCATTATTATTTATTGTTATTTATTTTTTTAATTCGACGTATGAAAATGAAGATTCTAATCATTATGATAAATATGTTAACTAATTGAATTGGATTTTGATTCATCTTCAAAGTTGGTAATAAATTAAATATGTTTTAAAATGTTTTAAACTTTTTTTTTAACTAGAAAAGGTCATTTGATCATAGGGTGACAGTAAAATTGAACTTCAATAAGTTGCATTTTTTTAAATATTAAATATTTATTTTGGTTTGTCTAGTTAGAAACTTAAAAGCCATTTTGATAATTATTTTATTTTTAATTTTAAAGATGACGGTGGTTTCTCCAAATTTCTTCGATAGGACTTTTAACCTTTTTGAACAATACATTTGAATTCTTAGTAAAATTTAAAAAATAAAAAACAAATTTTTGAAAACTCTTTTTTTTTGTTATTTTTCAAAATTCAGCTTGAGCTTTGTAGACATTTTTAAAAATAGATAGCCAAATAAAAAAAATTTAGAGGGGAAAGGAGTGTCTACCAGCTTAATTTTTAAATATATTTAATAAAATTAAAATAATTATGATTAATTCAATTAAAAAACTCAACTTTTTTTTTTTTGTTCTTGTTGTTAAACTTAATTTCAATGGATTTCCTCAGTTAAAATATGGGAGCCAAATATGAGTATAATTTGATAATTGACCTATATTTATCCGGAGATTCGAAATTCAAACTTCATGGTCCACAATCTGTTGTTTTAAAAAAGAAAAAGTGAGAGATAGATTTAACTTATGGGTCGTGAAGTTAATTATGTTGAGGTCGACTATTATATTTTTATTTATTTTATTTTATTTTTTTAATCAGATGAGATGAGAAACATATTTAACTTAAAAATATCACAATCATTAAATGTTACTTTTAAATACTAAGTCACCATTTTCCTGGAGAAAGTTCAATTATTGATTAGAACTTGATTGGAAAATTTTTAAGATCTAAATTACATTTAAATATGTAATAGAAAAATAAATTACACTTTTTTTTATTAAAAAAAGTTTAAATTTCAAAATTGTCCATCAAATTTGGAAAGTTATGTTTAGGTACCTTAGATTTTGAGGTCAAAATAACCACGAATTTCAAATAAATTCCTCTGTTTGACACTCCATAATTGTGAAGATTGGAATTCAATTCCTGATTTTATGTAAAAGAATTTTAGAATCAAATAATGATATTTTGTATAATTTCAAAATAAATTACATATTTAACCTTGTCATATTTAAAATTTTAAATAATAAATTTAGATTAAAATCCAAATCAACATAAAATTTTTATTTTCTTTTAGTTTAATTCAATTCAAATCATTTTTGTTTATTTCTTGAATTTCAAATCACACAGTTAAAATCATTTCTTTAATCCCTTTCTTCATGTTAAAATTTCAAAATGAAGAATTAGATCCGACCCGACACGACTGATCGGATTTTGATCCGTCCCTATCCAATCTGCAACCAACATGGCTTTGTACATGGTGGGCCCCACATCCCAACTACAAACTTACTCCACTCTATACTCCACACCACACCCACAGCCCCAAATAAGAAAATTAAAAATTAAAAAAAAAAACAAAAAACAGAAACGAAACTTTAATACCAGGAGGCGTAAACGCACCGTTTCAAGTTGGTGGAGTGTTAGGTTGCTGTCTTACCAACTCCCGCCTGCAATTTTCTCCCACAAAAAACCGCTGATGCCCGACACGTGACACTCGCACGTACGATCTTACTGGTGATTGTGGTAGGTGAATCGACGACGCTCCGTTTCCCGTTTCTCCGTTCCCTTATTTATTCCCTCACTCCCCTCCACACAAAAGCCAGGGCGATCTTCTTCTCCCAGAATCTCTCCCGCTCTGGTAATTTTTCAATTTCGCTTTAATTTATTTTCAATTTGCGATCAATTTTCTTTCGACTGATCTAATTTCGAGATCTCGATCGGCTCCAGTTGCTAAGACGATGATCATCAACGTGAAGGATTCGACGATGGTGAGGCCGGCGGAGGAGACGCCGCGCCGGAGTCTCTGGAACTCGAACGTCGATCTGGTGGTGCCGAGTATGCACACGCCGAGCGTCTACTTCTACCGGCCGAACGCCGCCTCCGATTTCTTCGACTCTCAGGTTCTCAAGGAAGGCCTCAGCAAGGCTCTTGTGCCGTTCTATCCAATGGCCGGACGGCTCCGGCGCGACGAGGACGGCCGAATCGAGATCGACTGTAATGCGGAAGGCGTGCTTCTTGTCGAGGCGGAGACCACGGCGGTTATCGATGATTTCGGCGATTTCGCACCTACTTTGCAGCTCCGGCAGCTTATTCCGACGGTCGACTACTCCGGCGGAATCGAGTCGTACCCCTTGTTGGTCTTACAGGTATAATCCCTGCCTTATCTCTCTTTTCCAAAATATAAAAGGTTTTTTTTTTATACCAAGCAAAAACTAATTTTTTTTAAGACTTATTAAACAAGTTTATAGGTAAGGATAGAATACAAAATTAAAAGTCGATCTATTTGACACTGTTTATAGGGACTTATCAGAGATAAATCTCAAAGTTTCGGGACTAATAGTTCTATACAAAATAAGTTGATGATTAGATGTTCAAGGGTATAATCATTTTTTTTATTTTTGGTTTTCTATTTTTAAAAAATAAAAATCATACATATTTGATAATCATTTTTTTTAAACAAAAACCAAAACAGTGGATGCTCGTTCGTGTGAAAATTTTTAGTCTTCGTTTCTACAGAAAAATTATTGGTTTTAGAATTGTTTTTAATTATTTTTAGAATTTAAACATAAAAAATATAATAATCTATATTAATTATTTAAAAAAATGGAATCGGGATGGAGTCGGAACATGCATTTTCTATTTTTGGGACCCGATCCTAAAAAACTAGTTAAAGAAAAGTTAAAATAAAAAGAGAAAAATTTTAAAGAAGAAAAGTAAAGTCCGAAAAGAAAAGATATATTAAAGAAAAAAAGAAATTATAAAAAAAAAGAAAAAAATCACAGTGGAAAGAAATTCAAAGATAAAAACAAAAATTCAGAATATAATTAATTTCTAGAGAAATAAATAAATATAAAGATAAATAAAAATTACAGTAAAATGTAAAAGTTAAAAAAAAACAAAATTTTAGAGAGAAAAAGTGATTAAAAATATTAAATTTTTAGAGAGAACTAAAATAGATTTGTTAGAAAAAAATAATAAAAATATAAAAAAATTTGTAGAGACAAACAAAGTTGGTAGAGAGAAATTTAGAAATAAAAAAAATTTAGAATGAGAAATAAATTCTTTTAAAGATAAATATGAGAAAGAAAAAAAAATGTTGACTATTTAGAAGAAAAAATCAAATTTTGAAAAACAAAAACTTGATTTTGAAAATTACTTTGTCAAATTTACATAGTTGAATTGGTTATCAAACAATAACCAAAAATTAAAAACCAAAAACCAAATGGTTATCGATTGTTTTAAATGGAACCTACTCATCAACAAATTTTAACTTACCTATCAACGAGATATATTTCTTTTTGGTTAGCTTTTCTAGATGTGTAAATAAAATAATAATTTAGAAATAATATTGTCAACAAAATTTAACATATTCGGTGGGAAAATTATCGWACAAAATTCGACTATTTTGATCTAATATTTTTTTAATTTAAAATAAGTATCAAACAATGAAATTGATTTGAAATTCATTACAGGAACACAAGTATCACCTGATATATTGGGCGAAAATAAAATTATTATTAATTTTTGGTGGTTATGATTTAATTAAAAAAATAATTAAGAAATAATATGGGGAGCACAGATGTTTGTACTTGGCTTTCCAACCCAACGCGGTTATTATTCATCTTTTTTAGTTGTGTTTTTCCTAATTTCAATTGGTTTATATAATAGATTCTTTTTTGGGTCTAACAATAATAGGAATCTTAGTTAAATATATTATATTATAATTTATACCCAAATTTACAACTTTAAAAATCGGTTTCTTCAAAATAAATTTAAATATCTCTAAAAAAATTAATAAAAAAAAACAGACGAGACTGGAGATACTTGGAAGTGCAGCCCTGAAAGGCAATTTTCTATTGACTTTTTTTTTTCTTTGAAGGGAATTTTCTATTGACTTCTATAGAATACAAGTAAGCCAAGCCGAATCGATCGGAATAAAATAATTTATGATTCTTTTTTTTTATGCTTAAATAATTTATGATTTGGTTGTATTGAATTTGTATACCTATACCATAGATAAAAAAAAAAACTTTAGGAGAATAACTTTCTCTCTCCATTTGTCTCCTCTCTCTTTTTTAATTGATTTGTAATTGTTTTCCCTTTTTTTTTGTTGTTATTTTAATTTTCTCAAACTAAATAAATAAAAAAATTTAAGATAAATTTTATATTTTAATTTTAGCTAATTTTAGCTAATAGTTATTTATTATTTTTATTTTCTAAAAAAATATCTCTTTTCTTCCCTAATTATATCTAATAACTATATAAAATTTAATAGTAATCAACATTCGTTCGTTGACTACAGATCAAATTTTATTTTGTTGTGTTGTTGAAATTTAATGGCAGTTAACACGGGATAATTATCAATTAAGTACCATTCATTTTATTTTGTTGTGTTGTCTACAGGTGACTTACTTTAAATGCGGCGGTGTTTCACTTGGCGTCGGAATGCAGCACCACGTCGCGGATGGCTTCTCGGGCCTTCACTTTGTAAACGCCTGGTCCGATATGTCACGCGGCCTCGACCTGAAGCTCGAGCCATTCATAGATCGGAGCCTCCTTCGTGCTAGGGACCCACCTCAGCCGGCCTTCCGACACATCGAATACCAACCAGCCCCACCGATGAAAACCCCGGTCCAACCAGACCCAACCGGCTCGACCGTCTCCATCTTCAAATTCAGCCGGGAGCAGCTGAATTTACTGAAAGCCAAATGCAAAGAAAACGGCAACACCACCAACTACAGCTCCTACGAGATGCTCTCCGGCCACGTGTGGCGCTGCACGTGCAAGGCGCGTGACCTGCCAGACGATCAGGACACGAAGCTCTACATCGCCACCGACGGCCGGTCTCGCCTCCGCCCGCCGCTCCCCAACGGCTATTTCGGCAACGTGATCTTCACGGCGACGCCGGTGGCCGTCGCCGGCGACCTGATGTCGAATCCGACGTGGTACGCCGCGAGTAAGATCCACGACGCGCTGGCGCGAATGGACAACGATTATTTGAGATCGGCTCTGGACTATCTCGAGATTCAGCCCGACATATCGGCGCTGGTCCGCGGCGCTCATACTTTCCGGTGCCCGAATTTGGGGATCACGAGCTGGGTCCGGCTGCCGATTCATGACGCTGATTTCGGGTGGGGCCGGCCGATTTTTATGGGCCCCGGCGGGATTGCGTACGAGGGATTGTCCTTCATAATCCCCAGTGCTTCCGATGACGGCAGCTTGTCGGTGGCGATTTCGCTGCAGAATCGGCATATGAAGGTGTTTGAGAAGCTGTTCTTTGATATCTGAGGAGATTGGCCGGAATCTTAAATCGCAGAGGCGGTGGTTTTCTTTTTCCGGTGCGACGGAGGAATTTTACAGTGGCGTTGTCTTTATTTTATTTTTTTTCTTACGGTACTTTTTCTTTTCCTCTCTCTTTTAATTTCCTGCTGAAAACGATGACGTTTTGTTAAGAAGCATGTAGTAGTTCAATTGTAAAGACGTTCCTGTTGGAAACAAATAACACACAGTGACAGTGGGCGATGGGGGCCGCTTTCAAATGACTTTGTATTTCCAATTTATTTAAATTTTTAATGCTTGGACTACATCAACAATAAATGTGAAGCATGTTCGTCAAATAACAAGGACATTATCGTGTGGTGGAAGAAGCTGTGGACTTTGAAAATTCCCAAAAAATAAAGATATTTATGTGGAGAGTATTCTATTCTTGTATTCCAGCCAAGGAAGTTCTAGGAACAAGAGGAATAGATGTGTTACCGTATTACCATGCTCTTTTCATACGTAATGGGGCGAAATCAATCTGTTAGAAGTTTCTATTGGACTTCTCGTAGATCGCTGTTTGCACTTCCTAGAATCATTATCAACAAAGGAGTTTGAATTAATGTATTTCGAGTGTTGGACGATTTGGAACGATAGAAATTATGTGAAATTGATAAATATTCTCAGATTCCTGATGTTATCTCAAAATTCGAGTTGATAGTGAGATATCTTGATGAATACACTCGTGTGACGGTGATGCCCATCAACGACATTCATGAGGTTCACAACTTGTCTCATGAAAATCGAGCTATCCATTGTTATTCTTTTCCACTTTCAAGATGAGTTAAGCTGAAAGTTGATGCCACAAAAAGTTCAAGGATTGGAGCTATTTTTAGAGATGAAAGGGGGAAGATTCAAGGGACTAAATGACTAAAAATTATCATAGCTTGTATTCTCCTCTTATCGTGCTGACAGTCCTTAAGGCTTTCCGGTTTGTAATTTAGACTAAATTTGCAACAACTCAGTGGTTGAACCAGACTCAATTCAAATGATACAGCTCATTAATGGAGAGATTGAAATGATTAATGAAGTTAATACTTCAATTGAAGACATTCGAATGTTGGCGAGGAACTTCACCAACATATTGTTTGCCAATGTCAGGATAAGTTTCAACCAACCCGCATGATCTTACAAGGAGGTAGCAGCAAATAATTCCATTAGAGAATTTCTACTTCCGTAGTATCTACTACTTACATTTAACTACAATTTTTTTCTTTATACTTCATATCATTCTTAGATGACATAGATGAAGCTCACAACGTATTAGTTTAGTATATCATACTCTTCTAATATTTGAAATTTTCTTCAATTTTGTTTGGTTTTGATCTTGTATCATATCATACAATGTTTATTTGGAGAGATAGAATCAAAAGTGTATTAGCTACAAATTTGAAGTACGTTACAAGTTGACCTCTTTTGCTTTAGAAGGCAAACAAAAGTTTGTTGGATATCTCGTCAAGGCACAACATTTAGTAGTGTTTGTTTTAGAGTAATAGTAAAATTAGTGATTTTAGAAAAAGAGATTTTAGTATAATTGATTTTCAAAATCATCCTCCAAGCGATACTTTTTCTAATTTGCCAAATATCATTAATGAAAATGGAAGTGATTTTGACGATAGAAAAAATGATTTTAGCATGATCAAAATCACTCCCAAACAAACATTTATGTTCGTTAAGGCAAAAGCAAATCTTCAAAATATTTTCTTTTTAATATACATTTTCAAAAATTGGCATCCAAAAAATTAAAACAAATAGTCCTTTAGCCGGCCCACAATCACAATTATGCAAGCCAAGGAACAAAGGGAACTCCTCAATTGTACACCATGTACTTCGGGGTGCACTATATCTCTTTAATCATTGGTTCACCTCCTACTTAGATGCAGGTTTCGGTAAATAATTGAGATTAGATACAAAACACTTAAATATCCTTCTAGAGGTTTGAACAAAAGTCTTCTAACTTATAAGTATTATAACACAATATACTTTAAGTACAGGAATGAGAAACTCACAAAAATTAAGATCTAATTTCTCCAAATACGACGATCTTGACCTATCCCAATTCTACCGCCAGTACCTCGAGCCTCTGTTTGCAATCCGCCACAAAACTGTTTTAAAAACGACTTAAAACGGCTCAGAAAACCCTAAAATCAAAGTTGTGTATTTATAAAACATCGTTACAGCACCATGGCTCTACGAGCGGAAAAATTCATGAGCGTGCTCATCGTACGACCATTCTGGCCTGTAGCTCTCCGCTTCACCTGTTTTCATCCCTCTTCATCCCAACGTGTTCCGACTCAATCCCGACTTGTCTCAACCTCGTTCCGACACTTCTCTGTCACTGTCTTCCTTATCAAACTCAGATCGGCCCGTAAGAAACCACATTCACAAAAGTAAAAATGTTGAACACAACAGGCAAGTTAAAAGTAACTACATCTAAGATTAAAATAGTGCCACAAGTCTTGACTGTAGAATTTGGGCAAAGTGTGGCCAACAGTTCAAATCGGATGTCCCTCTCACAGTTCATGGTCTGCTCTCCAGATCAGGAAGCCCAAACTCAACCTTATCAGGCCTCAAAGAAGAGATAGTTGAGATCAGGCCAGGAAGCTGAGACCAACAAAGTGGCTAGCATATTTTTTGGTCGAAGAACATGTGTTGGTCGCATTCATTTTTTAAAACTGATTTCGAATTCTATAATATTGAAAATTCTAAAAACAACATTTTTTTTTATACATCAAATTCACCATTTTAATTTGGTCATCCTCGTCACACTGGAGAGTCCCTCGCATAGACCTACGTGTATTTCTCTTGAGATTAAAGAAAAGATAGACAATCTGTCTTTTCATAAGAAACCCAACAAACTATTTAAATAGTGGAAGGATGGTCCAAATTACTACCAAAAAAAATGGCGAAATAAGATTAAAAAAATCTTTTGTTTTTTCACGCAGTATTGAAGAAAAAGAAACCGCCAAAAATTTGGGTTGGTACCCTTGAGTACCTATGGATACAGGGGAGCAAAATTACAGTCCACTCCAGTTGAAAGTTTATCTTTCAGTCCAAAAGTTAAATTTGTGGTAAAAAGTAAAAAAAATCAAAATTACAACCATTAAAGCATAAGCAGCCAATTTTCCGTTATTTTGGATAGAGAAAATTCCAAAACATAACATTATTGAGGAGGAAAATAAATTATACATTTTCACAAACTCGATTTTTAAAAGATACAGACAAAAAAAACGTAGGCTAGTTTTTACAAAATTCCTAAACCAAATAGTAACGAACAACAACTACAACACAACACAGAAGAAGAAGAACAAGGACAGCTTTCGAAAGTTCTAAGTTTCAGAATCTCAATCCACCTCTTCAATGGTCGGCCCGGACGCAGCCGCCGCCGCCGCCGGCACCCTGGTAAAGCTTAGCGATTATGGGATTACAGATCCCCTCCAATTCCTTGAGCTTGTCTTCAAATTCATCCACCTCTGCCAACTGGTTCCTCTCGAGCCACTCCATCGCCTCGTCAATCGCCTTCTCAATCTTCGCCTTCTCCGCCGGATTCAACTTTCCGGCTAATTTCTCATCCTTCGCAGTGTTCCTCATGTTGTAAGCGTAATTCTCCAGCGCGTTCTTGGCTTCCACTTTCTTCTTCACCTGTTCGTCCTCTGCCTTGTACTTCTCCGCCTCCTGCACCATCCTCTCGATCTCATCTCTGCTCAGTCTTCCTTTGTCGTTGGTAATCGTGATCGTGTTCTTAACTCCGGCCGTCTTGTCCTCCGCCGTGACATTCAGAATTCCGTTCGCGTCGATGTCGAAGCAGACGTTGATTTGAGGCACCCCTCTCGGCGCCGGAGGTATTCCCTTGAGCTCAAATGTTCCGAGAAGGTTGTTGTCTTTTGTTCTTGCTCTTTCCCCTTCGTAAACTTGGATCAAAACGCTGGTCTGATTGTCGGAATAAGTCGAGAAAACCTGCTCCTTCTTCTTCGGAACCGTCGTGTTTCTTGGAATTAACACGGTCATCACTCCGCCGGCGGTTTCGATTCCGAGGCTCAGAGGCGTGACGTCGAGGAGAAGCAGATCTTGGACCTTCTCGTTGCCTTCGCCGCACAGAATCGCCGCCTGTACGGCGGCACCGTAGGCGACGGCTTCGTCAGGGTTTATGCTCTTGCAGAGCTCTTTCCCGTTGAAGAAATCCTGCAATAGTTGCTGGACTTTGGGGATTMTTGTGGAACCGCCTACTAAAACGACGTCGTGAACTTGTCCCTTGTCAATTTTGGAATCTCGCAGACATTTCTCCACTGGCTCCATACATCTTCTGAACAGATCCATGTTCAATTCCTCGAATCTCGCTCTGGTAATTGTGGCGTAGAAATCGATCCCTTCGTAGAGCGAATCGATTTCGATTGTGGTTTGCGTTGTGGAAGATAGAGTTCGTTTCGCTCTTTCGCAGGCCGTTCTCAGCCGACGGAGAGCTCTGGGATTGCCGCTGATGTCCTTCTTGTGTTTCCTTTTGAACTCCGCCGCGAAGTGGTTCACGAGGCGGTTATCGAAATCCTCGCCGCCGAGATGAGTGTCTCCGGCGGTGGCTTTCACTTCGAAGATTCCTTACTCGATCGTCAACAGTGAAACGTCAAAAGTTCCGCCGCCGAGATCGAAGATCAGAACGTTCTTTTCTCCGGAGCGGGAGGCTTTCTTGTCCAAGCCGTAAGCTATGGCAGCGGCAGTTGGTTCGTTGATGATTCTCAACACATTCAGACCGGCAATGGCTCCGGCGTCCTTGGTAGCCTGCCGCTGCGAATCGTTAAAATATGCAGGGACTGTAATCACGGCGTTATTTACATTGTGCCCTAAGTAAGCCTCCGCAATCTCCTCCATCTTGATCAGCACCATTGACGATATCTCCTCCGCCGCGAACTGCTTCTCCTCACCTTTGTATTGAACGACGATCATCGGCTTGTCTCCGGGACCTGAAAGATGAGGTTACGAATTTCAATCATCTCTAAAACAATTTCCATCCGAAGCGAAAAAAAATATCAATAGATCATATCAAATTCGTACCTGAAACGACCTTGAATGGCCAGAGCTTCATATCGCTTTGAACGGAAGAGTCGGAGAATCTGCGGCCAATGAGCCTCTTGGCGTCGAAAACAGTATTCTGCGGATTCATCGCGACCTGATTCTTGGCCGCATCGCCGATCAGTCGTTCGGTATCGGTGAAAGCGACGTAGGAGGGAGTGGTTCTGTTGCCTTGATCATTGGCAATAATCTCTACACGATCGTTTTGCCAGACGGCGACGCAGCTGTAGGTGGTGCCGAGATCAATGCCGATGCCTTTGCCTTCGCTCTTGCAAGTCATTGATGAGAACTTGAGTTGAACTGGGAAGATGTTGAAGATGAAGAAATTTGGGATCGGAGAATGTAGAATGCTGAATTAGAGCTTTTTGATGGTTTAATTTTGATCTGAGGAAGAGATTTGGAAGGGCTTAATTTATATACATTTTCGTGAGGACGGGAAGGTGGTAGAAGGAGGTAGGGGGAGACATAGTTGCAGAGAAATCGGGAAGAAGATGGAGAATTCTGGAAGTCGGTGAGTCGACTCGGATGACTCGGCCTCTGAGTTGGCTCTAATTACGCGAGTTGAAAATCTAGAGGAAACTTGGGCTTAAAATTTAAAATTTACAAAATATTAAATTACAAATTTAATTCATATCATTTTTTCAAGTTCATTTTAAAAGTTTCTGATTAAAGATAGGTGACTATCTTGAGATTTTAAAATCCTTATAAATCCATACTTCCAAATAAGGTAAGGTGTGCATAGTCTTTATCCCATCTTCACCGTGACCAAGTTGACCTTATTCTCTAACATAAMATTTAATAATCAAATTTTCCTTAGATTTAACTATAGGAATCATGCGAAAATCTACCGAAACCATAAGAACCAAACTTGTGATTTTACTAGAATAAGAAATGTTTTCAACGACATTTTGAAATATTTATTTATGTTAAAGAATATTAATAAAACTTCAAATACACTATAAATTTAAGATTTTTGGTTCATCAAGAAAAAAAATCTTTTCTTTTAATTCATCAATAGTTTAACCATTTATTTGAGATATTTTCAACTCAAATATTGAGGGGACAAAGCATTATTATTACTTTTCTTATCTAACATAGGTTAAACTCAAAAAATTTATAGGAGTTTTTTCTTTATTAATGTTGGATATAAATTTCATCTTCACTTGATCTAAAAGTAAACTATACTCCAATCAAAATCTTAGGTATTAATTCAATTTGAGGAAGAAAGAAAAAAAAAAATATCCGAACGGATCCGGTTTGCCAAAACCCAACCCATTTACACGCCTCTCCAAGTAAACGAGT